TTGCATTCTCAAAGTCGTTAGTGGAGCGTGTGTGGTTTAACGTCACACTAACATGGACTTGTGAGAAGTAGCAAAGGTCTAAACAATTGAGACTATGATTACGGCATCCCTTTTCATAGTTCTTAAAATTGTTTAGACACACCTGTGAGCTATCTAAGAAATGGTGTATGATTATGATAAAGTTTTATCAAAGCAATCTAGTATCAGAAATCTGAACTTTGGTAAGAAAGTCAATAAAGTATTGATTTCTAGAAGTCCAGCTGATTTCTGCATACATGTCAAAGCTAGTGGGAGCATAAGTCTTATGCTAATAATCATGATGTTAGTAGGAGCATGATAATTATCGTAAGTATTGCAAGTTAGCAATGTTAGTTATAGAAAACAAAAAGTTTCAATTGGGAAAGAGTTGTTTTGCTATAGTTAAGGGAGAGGAAATTATACTTCATTTCAAATCTAAAAGCTTAGATTGAGGTTTTAATCGTATTTAGTCAAGGATATATATATATATATATATATATATATATATATATATATATATATATATATATATATATGAATTTCATGTTGGAATGGCTCAACATAAGGAAATTCTGTATATGGGTCCATTATTTGTGTTCGAAAATTCGATTATGATTACGGCATCCCTTTTCATAATCTGAATTATGAGAACTTGGAAAATAGAAATGGAAATGTTATAGCAAAAGACTTGTTTAGTCTTTATGTTAGACATCATGACTCATGTCCCATATGCTTCGGATATAGGATTGATTATATGTGCTATATTCATCATTTCTAAAATTTTCCAAATGCCTGGGGCATTAAGAAGGGAAAAGGTCTAGAATTGGATATGACTAAAAGGATTAAACAATTGTCGAAGACAATCTAAGGTTTACCAAAGATTGGTTGCTCAAGGACAGTTGGAAGTATAGTGATAATTCTGGAAGGACCATATTGACATAATCTGTAAGGAGGAAACTCTTCTTCAGAAGTGATAGTTAAAATGGAATCTGGAAGTGTTTCAAAGTTAGAAATTATTCAATATGTGTAAGATTAGGAAACCTAATGTAAGAAGGATGTTTCCAAGGAGCTGATCTCCTTTGGAATGCTCTATAATGGTTGCTGTCAAGTCATTCTCACTTTGTGCATAATCATTACAAGAGGATCAATGCATATAAGTTTAGAATCTAACAGATTTCAGTAAATGGCATGAATTTGTAATTCTTGCATTTGCAGTAAATGACATGAATTTGGAATCTAACAAATTTCAGTAAATGGCATGAATTTGGAATTCTTGCATTTGCAGTAAGGATTTGGGACTGTGAAAAGAGGATCATTGGAGTTATGTTCAATTGATCTATTTCACAAAGTAAAGATCATAGACAAACATAGTATGCATACTTCGTGTATGGCATGACTAGCGTTTCGAAAACATAGTGTACATGCTTGGAGCATGGGACAACTATTGTTTTAAATTCAAGAATAAAATTGATAGCTGAAACAATATACAATGAATAATGTGTAATAATATCGTGATAAATAAAAGGTGTTTTATTTGTGTTCAAGGGTTTTGATACCATATTGGATTCAATTATTATTGTGTTTCACATTGCATGTTTTAACTTCCTAAATAACTAGGTCATTGTTCTGGATGACTAAGTTATTCAAACCATCCACAGTCGGTCATATGTTGGAAGTAGATATGAATCAAGACTATCATGGGTTGGCTTGTAGAGGACAAAGATGTTGGACAAAGGGATACAACACTCATGAGTGCTCATAAGTTCTAAGTATTGGATTCAACCCGTGCTCATTGGAATCACTTCATGGATTTTATCATGATTGATCATGATACAATAATATCTTATATTCTTCAAACCTAGAGATATGAGTTGTTACTATGAGTTGGTTGTACATTGATTGCACGAAAACGCATTCGGTAACTCGATGTTATAAAATGTGCCTTTGTGTATGATTCAACAAGTAGTAGAACAATCCATATGAGTTGAAGTTTATCCATTCCTTTTACCTTCGGGATAAAAGTGATATCTGTGGGCCCCTCGATGATTTGGTGATGAAAAATGTAAGTGCTTGGCCGGGCCAAGACTGATTTGATTTGTTATATTAGTTAGTTGTCATAAATCGGAAATCGGGAAACAACAAATGGAAAGAGAGAATGATTATAATCCACATCTCAGTCCATATGATATCTAGAATGGAGGAATATATGATCCCTTATCTTATGGACAAGTCATTGACAAAGGTCAGAGTTCATCTACAAGGTCAGAGTTCGACAGAAGCTTTTGAGAGTACGATTGCCAGTTGGTTCTTGAAGTCATACGCAATAATAGTTTTAGACTTATCCAAGTGGGAGACTATTGGATTAATGTCTCAGTCCATAACTATAATTGTTAAGACTTGACCCAACCCGTCATGGTCCATTTGGGTTGTGTGGCATCATGCATTTGGATAGACTATAATGAGAGAAATAACACTTAAGGTTTGTTAATATATTATAAGGTCTAATATATTAATAAGGTTATTTAATTAGTATTGATCAAGAATTAATTTGGAATTAATTAAGTGGTCATAAGGAGACTAATTAAATATATGGGTTGATTGTGTAAATCATTCATTCTTATATATGTGGGCTTGTGATCCAAGATTCCTTATGTTAGACTAAGTCTATGGGGTGACCCATGGATACCCCATAGAGGTTAAAATCCATGGAGCATAAGGAATGGGTAAAGTTATGAGGTACATGGTGTAACCCTAATAGCCACCATATAAAAGAATCCCATGGCTCAAGAAATCGGCCATTATGTGTGAGGAAAAAGGTCTAGCCGATTTTGATGAAGTGTGGTTTTCTCTCAAGTCATTCCATGTGTATTCGGTGTTGTGTGAACCATTTGAGGTGTCCCACTTGGGGCACTAGGCACTCAAGCTTCATGAAGATAATCTACATCTAAGAGGTATGTAATTCTAATTTGATATATTCATTTGAATCAATGTTATTATGCTAGTTAGGATGAATACCTTGGAAAGTTCATATTTGCATGTATAATAGAGAAATAATAGATCCAAGGTATTTAGGGTTGCATGTACACTTAGGAGTGTTAGAATGCTCAAAACCCAACAGTTAGATCCTGAACTTGTTCCATCATATAGCACCTTGTTATGTTAGTTCTGTTATCATGTATTGTAAGCGTATTCGTGTAAGCGTATCTATGTAAGTGTATTCATGTATGTTACACCCCCAAACCAAGGATGGTGGAAACGTCCGGAGGTGGAGGACTTCATGTACAGTATCACAACAACGTGTATAATAGTGCTCAAAGAAAATGCAACCATCATAAATATAATTGAAAAAGTTACACCAAAGTATATGTTTACATGTTTCAAAATCAATTACATTATGATGACAAAAATAAATTGTTGACGGTTTAACGTCCCATCCTCAAAGCGCTGAAGTTTTCATGTTTCACTGATTTCCTGAGAATACAAGTAGTTTTGAAAAAGTGTAAACAATTAAGTTGGTGAGTTCATAAGAGTTTTGTTTGAAGTAGAAACCGTTTTCCTTGTAAAATCGATACAGTTTGATTTCCAGAAAATCCAATATTTTCTTAGTTAAGTGTGAATAGAAATATTCCTATATGATGCATTAATGAACCCTAGAATGACCCGTAGAGTTCCTCTATAATCTTCCAGCGTATATAAGTTATATAAGGTTTAAATTAGACAAAACGTTGAATATAGTGGGTCTGTCCTAGGTCCACAACCCAATGAGGAACAAGAGATGAGGCGGGCCCCACCAATTCTAAGCCAATCGAGACTAAATTCTTATATGAATCAAACATATACGCTCAGCGATTATAGTTGAAGTCTAACAATTCTAGATGAAATATAGTTTTAATATCATAATAACTATCTTAAGTGAACCTGGTACTTTGTATCGGTACCACCTTTTTGTATAAAGACCCGGCACTTTGTATTTGTACCCATTTTTGTATAAAAACCCGGTACTTTGTATTTGTACCCATTTTTGTATATAAACCTGGCACTTTGTATTTGTACCCCTTTTTGTATAAAAAGTCGGTACTTTGTATTTGTACCCCCTTTTGTATATAAACCCGACACTTTGTATTTGTACCCCTTTTTGTATAAAAACCTGGTACCTTGTATTTGTACCCCCTTTTGTATAAAAACCCGGTACTTTGTATTTGTACCCTCTTTTGTATATAAACCCGACACTTTGTATTTGTACCCTTTCTTTTTGTACGAGTGTGTTATGTAAATGATCATAAACTATATACTACTAGAAAAAACAACCTTTTACGACGCTCATTGCGCGTCGTAAAAGGCTCAAACGACGCGCAAATGCGCGTCAAGGAAGGCCCTGTCATAAAGAGAGACGACGCGCTTTTGCGCATCATCTATAGACGACGCGCATTTACGACGCTCATTTACGACGCGCAATTACAACGCGCATTTACGACACGCAATGCGTATCAATGAAGGCCCTGTCATAAAGGAAGACGACACGCATTCGTGTGTCGTAAACTTACGACGCACTTGTTAATGACATGCCATGCGTATCAAGAAAGCCCCTGTCAAGAAAGGCCATGTCATAAATGAAGATGACACACATTTTTGCATATCATAATTTTAAATGTTTAAAAAAAATTATTTATAGATTTACTTATTTTCAAATTAAATTTGTATTTAATGTTTCATAATAGGAAATAAAATATCATATACAAAAAATAGAATCCATTGCATAAATTTAATATCATACAAGTAATCGTTCCATGGAAAGATAAAACAAATCAATAGAAGTTGTAACAAAAATTTACAAACGAATTAGATACAAAAAATACAATCCATTGCCCCTTTGCTTATTCATGATCAACCTGCAAGTAGCTAACTAATTTGTACAAATTCACCCTGGTTTCTAATCTTTTTCTTAAATACTTTACAAACATAATTCATCCATAGTACCTGAACTATAGTTGCAGCCTTGTTTCTTCTTCTTCTGAACTCATCTCTTGCAACCATTGCTCTAAGCCTAGTCTGAATAGATACAACAGCTCCTTGTCAATTATGTGAAAAATACAACCGGAGAGTAGCCTACCTTCATAATAGAAACAACTAACGAAGCAGGAATGAAAGAGAAGGCAATGCTCACAACAATAGTTGTAGTGAACGCATCTAGGTCCTACAAGATCATACAAATCACTATTTAAATACACTCTATATATAGAGGTGTCAATATTCTGATTGCATGTACTTAATATATAAAGACTCCAACAATAAATAGATATGTTATGTTACCTTGAGACACCTTTTAAGGGGATCCAAAAGATAATTACTATTTATTCTTATAACTCAAAGCATTTAGATAAAATTGTATTATATAATACTTAGAATCTTTTTGTCGTGTAACTTCATAAAACAACAGTTATACACCCACCCACCATACTATTCATCAATCGTCTAGTTCTTTTTTACTTAAATCCTAAATTTTTATAAATTGTTACCTCAAATATGATTTCATCTTTCTCCACAGGTGAACGAAGTTATGTGTATATCTTTATATATCTTCTTAGAACCTATAAGTGTTGAACCTGATCAAAAAAATGTAAACATTGAAGATGGAGAATTGAATTACAATTTACAAACCAATTTAGCAAACTTTCACCGGTGACTAAAGCTACTTTCCCGCTGATCTGTCAAAAAATGCTTGATCTCAAAGAGAATGAAGGGATCTCAAAAAGAATGAAGGGGTCTTTCACAGTCTCAAAGAAAATTTTGGCCCTGTCTGTTCCATTCTTTTGTCATTCCATTCCATTCGAGTTTAAAAAGAAAAAATTAAATTTTTGATTAAAAAAAAAGAGTATAGAAGTACCTTGTAAACATGTCCAAAATCACCCTCCCTAAGCTTATTAGCTTATTTGCAGGACTAAAGTCATCTGAAAGCTCACAACTACAACCGGAACCAAAATCCATACAATCAAACCAATATTACTCTTCTTGTTGTTAAAAGGTGGATTGTTGCTCAAGGTAGGGACGAAATCTGTAAAAAAAAAAAGTAAAGGGGGTTGTCTTGTCATTTTGTCAGTTAAGAGCAAAAAGTTAAGAAAAAACAATTTCATGAAAGAATTTTACTTGGTGTAGCACTGATTTCTGAGATAAGAGGTCCAAAATCTCCTTGAGTAGGTACACAAGTCCCTTTTCCAGTCCATAATAGATGAATCTCAAGGTAGTTATTTAAACCTCAACTATCACTTCCCTTGAAACATGACTAAATGAACCCCCCCCCCCCTTCTTCCCTTTTAATATTAAAATCTTGAAAACCCCGGTTTCCCTGAATAGTGCCCAATAACTTCAACTAATTCAGGTTCACTCCACTTTAAAGAAAGAAGTTGTTAAAGTAGACCTAAAGTTCATAGTAAATGGTGTGTTAAAAGATCTCAGAGTGTACAGACAGTAAAAAAGTATAAAAAAGAACCTTCTAGAACTCTGCAAGAAGAAAGTTAACCATTATCGCCATCTAATGATTATAAAAAACCAAAAATGAGCATATTTTCCCCTTTCTGACCATACTTTTGGGTAGCTGCAGGGTAGTCTCCAGATGTGAATTTTGGTGAGTCTTGCATGGTTGAACCATAGCCACTTTGCCCTTCTAACATAGAAGGTCCAGCTCCTTTGCTACTTGTAGCTGGAACCTGAAAAGATGACATTAAAATTTATTGAAGCATAATCTAATTCAACATTCTTAACTAATAATTTGATTCTGAACATTTTAATTTAGGTTGAATGTTTTGGATTCGAGTTTGTCATATCCATCTAACATAATGAAGAGGTGTGGATTCAATATAGGAGCAACCCTTCTGGTCATACACGAACTACTGCATCTAAATCAATTAAGTACGTGAGAAGAGCGCAAGAACCAAAATAAGTCAACAACACATTCAGAAATGAAAAAGATGTTCTGACTTGATATATACCTGCTCTCACAACCACTTCGATTCCAGATATATACCTGCTCTCACAATTATCATAGAATAAACTTAAGGATAATAAGCTGATGAAAGTTAGGGATAGTTAGGTAAATTCACAGGTATTTATATATACCTGTGAATTTCGCTGCCACTGGCAATAAAGGTGCTATTGACCCCACCAAATAAAAACGAATGACATATTTATGTTGCCTATGGCCCTTATATCTCAAAGGTTTTTCCCATAACCCTTCAACATCCCACATATGAATCTCTTGGCTGTTAAGATTAACAATCAAATACTTGTTGTCACCAGAAACTGAAAGAGATGTAATCGAGTGTTCTTCAGAGATAACTCTTTCAGCATTTGTAGCCACGTTTAGTATCCGAATATCTTTATCTGAAAAAATAGTAATCAAATATTCACCATTTGGAGTAACAGCAATATCAAACACCTTTGGCATCCGTGTTCCTCTCCATGCTTTAATCTCATTGCCTTCACAATCCCACATGCAGATGCCTTTTTTAGGGTATGAACTCCCATAGACGAGTATATTTGAGTCTAGAAACCAAGCACACGAGCTAACAAGGAAGTTGTTATCAGCAAATGTGTGCTTACATGTACCTGTTTCCACATCCCAAAGCCTAATACTTAGAGTAATTTTATCAAGTTATCTTTCAATCTTGATCAGCTATATTAATATCAAAAGCAGACTATACAAACAAATGATATAATTCTAAAACTTCTTATTCATCCAATACTTAGAGTAATTTTATCAAAAGCAAGCTGCACAATCAAAAGCTACACTCACGGACCAACATGTAACTTACTGTAATATTTATAAATATTTCTTTCATTCACGATGAAATGATAAAATTTTACCTAAGGAAATACATAATCATGATGTGCATCACATATAGATAGCCCAAGAATCACACGTGCAGCAGAGCCCATATATTCCACATAATCTTGAAGCTGAGGAACAATTGATATATAAAAAATCAAGGGAAAAAGTGGAAATAAAAGTGTTATAGGTACAAATAAAGGAGCAGTTTAGACGATTATACCCTCCCAAGGATTTCAAGACGGAATAAATCATCATAAGTCCTGTTTAAAGCTCCTTTCTTGATATCGGGGGTGCTCCGAATCAATGAAAGGCCCTAACTGTTAATGAGTTAAATAGAATCATTGTTAGTTTAGAGTGGTTTTGATTTTTGAACAGTTACAGGGTTAAAATTGCAAATTCTCACCAGTATAAGCAACTGAGGCTTAGCTTGCAAATAAGCATGCATCCTCCTAGAAGGATCCTGTGAATCTGTCCGCACCATCTTATTTACAGGTATTTTTTGCGACCCTTTAAAATATATGAAAACAAGTTAGAACATGAAGAGATATATCAACTGAAAAGTAAAAAGAAGAGCATCACTACACTTGTATAGTTGCATAACAGAAGTTGATGTGTTTACACACAAAGCTTTGTTTGCAGATATTGAACTAACAGGAGAGCAATCCACTGCCTGTTCAAACACATAAAAGAAATTATATATTAGATGAACCAAACCAAAAAGAAAAGCAAGCTATGACATTTCTATAATCAAAATACTACCTGTTGCTCTTGATACATGCTTGACTCATTTAAGTTTCTTAGCTTCATTTCTATCACCGATTGTATCTTCTCAATAATAACCTCCTGGTTCAAAAGGCTCACCTGTATAAATTTATAAGCTCAAGTTTAGAGTAACTAAGGATGTATTCATCACATTCGGAAAACTCTAAGTATACAGACCTCATTCATTTTGTCTTTCATGCATTGGTCTGTTACACATTTTTAAAGTGGTAAAATTAAAAAATCACTTTGGATAAGTCAAGAAGAAATAATACAGAAATCATGTAAGAAACATCATTACCTCTCTCTTTCTGGGATGCACGTTAACATCAACATGCTCGGGAGGCAAGATAAGTGACATATATATGAAAGGTTTTGATGCTTTGGGTAAAGTTGCAACATAGATGATTTCAATTTCCCTCTTCAGAGCAGTACATTCGGCTAATCTTTCTGTGAAAAAGTGAGGAAAAGTTAGGTTATAATAAGAACCAAAATATCAGGAAGAATGTCAATAAATTTGCACAAGTCAAAATTCAGAAGTTCAAGGTGTCAATTATCACTCAACCACACTAAAGAAATAAGTGCTAGGGCATATTCACTTTTTCTTTGTTTTTTGTTTTTGTTACTTGTGTGTGGTTTCTCAAATTTAGAGGGGAAGGGTTTTGATGGTTTCTCAAAGTTGTGTGATACATAACACATACCATTGATGAAGAGAACCATGGTAGTCTTCGTTGCAGAGTAACTAGAGTCGGATATAAAGCCATCCATTTCAAAAACTGAAGTAGATGGATTAGCATCTGAAGCTAGCCTCTATCTTTATCAGACTGGAGCAACTGAGACTCCATACACATATATGATTGCATCCAGCCTTGTAGACATAGCAACTGAGTGAACATCGGTTGCACCAGCTCCATGCTTAAGAATCAGATAGTAGATATGTACAAGACATTAAAACCAATATTAAAAAATGTATGCAGTATGCCTCCCAAAATTATGGAACAAAACAATTATTAGTTTCAGATGCGTGCAAAACAATTAGGTAAACTACTCACCTTTCTGCAGGAGAAGCTCACATTTTTATGATGAATGGCAAACCGACAAAGTAGGTCAACAATTTTTGGATACTAATCAGCAGAGTTCTGGAGAGTTTTCCTTCGTGCAATGATGTTATAAAATA